ATATATATATATATATATATATATATATATTTTTTTTTTTTTGTATTGTATTGTATAGTGTGATGTTTCTATTAGAGCTCGACATAAATGCATAGTTTGTCTTGGGTGACAAATGGCTTTGTTTCTAAAGGAGGGAATTCAGGTCCGAGTTTTACAATAATTAATTAATTCTTTATTCAAAATGAGCTTCCAGATCCAGTTTGTAGATGAAGTCCATGAAGGCCGAGCACCGCTGACAGTGACTGTGGCGAACACAGAGGAGGAGTTCAGGAACACCACAGTTAAAGACCTGCAGAGAAAACTCATCCCAGAAGACGAGTGTAAGTCTGTGTTTCTGTAAAATATTGTGACACTGTGGAGATGTTAAAATGCAAATATTCAAAACTAGCAATTACAGCCGACCCAGTATATCGTTAGCTAGAACAAAAGCTTTCAGATGAGATGTTAAACTGAGCTCCTGACTCTCTGTGCTCATTAATAACCCCATGGCACCCTAACCCTAACCCTAACCCTTCTCTTACAAAGGGGGGGTGTAACCCCGGTGTCCTGGCCAAACACCCTCCATCAGCCCTTACCCATGATGACCTCCTGATCATCCCTATCCACTGAATTGGCTCCATCACTGTCTCTCCACTCCACCTATATGTGGTGAAGCACTGGCTCTGTTGTCCTGTGGCTGCCAGAGGATCATCCAAGTGGAGCTGCACACTGCTGGTGGTGTGGAGAGACCCCCTTCATTACATTACATTACAAAAGCAGTTTTTTATTTTTTCGGAAGTTAATGACCAAACACGTCTTTGTAGAAGTTCTCATTGTTGTTGCAGATGAAATATAACAGAAGAAGTGGTTTAACCATGTTCCAGTGGGCTAGATATTGATTAACAGTCATACAAACAACTTTACCAAAGCCTCTCTACCTGACAGTTGGTCTTGCGTGTCCGCCATGTTTGTAGTTTGTTTAATCTTTTTTCACCTGTGTTTGTAGTTTTAATAAATTTTACGTCTAACATGCAATGTATTGTGGGCAATACCGAAAATAGTAAACCTTTTGATGGCTTTGGAATACTCTTTTCAACATACTATGGTTTGGGACATACTAATTCAAATACTATTTAGGATGGATAGTATGCGAGTTGGAACGCACCAAAAGACTTCTTTTTTTTAGGCCCAGCTTAAAGCCTGATTTATACTTCTGCGTCAGGTGACCGGCGTAACTCACGGCGCAGGCAACGCGCGTGGCTGTGCATTTATACTTCTGCTGCTGTCTCTGTTGGTCTGCATTAACACTTCCGAAACGCTCGTTGGCAGTGAGGTGTAAATGCTCCTCTGTGTCGAGTTTCTTCGCTACTTTTTTGCATTTCCTGAACACTTCCTGGATGTACAAGTGGCTCAAACTCGCTCATTTTGAGGCAGGAACCGGCGGACGTGCAACAACTTTAACTATGAGGTAAACACAGAACAAAACTTTCCATCCGGAGCTCCTTCACGGGACTCCACACTTGTAAACAATTGCTCGCGCGGCGTCGCGCCATTCGCGCGGCTCTCGGTCCCGCCCAGACTCGTCAGCGCTACCAAGCCGACCAATCACAGAGCTTACGCTACGCGTCGTTGCGACGTGTAGTTACATTTTTTGAGAGGTGCACGTCAGTGACGGCCATGGCGAAGGGCTATGCGTCAGCTCCGTAGCATACGCCGGTGTTTGACGCAGAAGTATAAATCAGCCTTAAGGATCTAAATCTCCTTTTTTCAATACAATCCAAAGCAAAGCAAGCCCTTACTAAAATCTTCACTAACATCTAACAGCCTTGCAGAATCAGAAAATAAAGTGGTTGGCATACTTTAAAGCAGGTGTCACCAATCTCGGTCCTGGAGGTCCGGTGCCCTGCAGGATTTAACTCCAACTTGCCTCAACACACCTGCCGGGATGTTTCGAGTATACCTAGTAAGACCTTGATTAGCTTGTTCAGATGTGTTTGATTAGGGTTGGAGCAAAAATCTGCAAGACACCGTCAATCTTTTTATATTGATCCATTTGCTAAACGTTCAGCCAGTGATAGTTCACTTACCAAACAATGGCTGGAGAGAGTAAGGAAATTTCCCGGCCTGAAAAGTGTATCCCAAGTCAGTCCTGCTGCTCCTACAAATAGTGCACTATTCAAGGGTATCGGGGGCAATTCCAGATAACGCCATCAAAATGTCCCTGACAGGGTTGCCCCAGCCCAACAAAAACAAAAGTGCAAATATTCCACCACCCATAAAATAATAATTTCCATTACTGTACTGCATTATACACTATCTGTTATTCAAAAATCACTGTATTAATTACAAATCTGCTTTCATGAATAAAATCATCTCAGCAACAAACCTGGAGATGCACTGCTGTGAAAACAGCCACTCTCCCGTATAAGTGCGCTTGCTTACTCTGTTTCAACTTTATGATATTAAATCATGTCAGTATTGGTCATTCCAAATCCTTTATTAATGAGTGTTGCAGCTGGTTGTAAAGTTGACTTGTTGTTGTTTCTTTGACAGATGAAAACACCATTCTGGTCTATGAATGTTCAACGCTGAAGAGAAATCGCACACTCGGCTCCTATAACATTCAACATGGCTCTGTTATTAGAGGCTTATGGCATGGAGGTATAAATCCTGCTCATATTTATATTATTGTAGAAATCTCTTTATAGTCCTGACTCAACTGACTGCATCATCATTTCAGAACCCTTTGTTGGGAGCTGTGGACCAATGTCCTCTGACCATGAGTATGAAGGTCTGTATCTCACTTATTTTTAACTCAAATCTATTTCGTTCCACATTTATGAACCACTCCTGTGTATTTTTGCTGCTTGATGAGCTTCATGCTTCATTTTCTGGTAGTTTAAATGAAACTATATTATGATGCTGGTATAAGTATGAACTATAGGAAATGTTCTGCTTCTGACTGATATTTTGTTGTTGTGTTACACTATTTCTCTCACAGGATATTTTCCATATGATGATGATGATTATGATGACCCCAACGTCATCTCCAGGAGGGAGTCTATGGAGCTTGTGGTTATGATGCAGAAACCTCAGCAGAATTGATGTATGTCTGTGGCTCAGCCTCCCATGATCCTGCTATAAATATTAATTAAATTCCCACTGCCATAAAATTCACTATCATATGTTATTAGAGCTGCACAATACTGAGAAAATTCAGTTCAAACTTAATTCATAGACCAAATTAAAAACACAGAAGTGAGCCAAAGTGCTGTACAGAAATGCAACAAAACAAGCATAATAGTTTATAAATATGAGGTAAAATATTGCTAAAATACCTATAAAGGCATATATATAAACTAAAATAAGAAAATCAAGTGTCAAAGGTCAACAGGGGAATGCTATATTTATTAGCTTTATGTATCTTTGTGTATAGTTATCATACCAAAATAAGCAGATAGTAGATATTTATCTCATCTAAATAAATCTGACTGAGGCTAAAATTAGTGGTGGGGCAAACATTGAGACTTTAAAACACTATGAATGAGTGTAGCGGCACGGTGGCTCAGTGGTTAGCACTGTGGCCTCACAGCACTCAGGTCTCTTGAGTCTTGGCTGGGTCAGTTGGTGTTTCTGTGTGGAGTTTGCATGTTCTCCCCGTGTTGGCGTGGGTTTCCTCTGGATGCTCCGGTTTCCCCCACAGTCCAAACACATGCGCTATAGGAGAACTGATCAACTACACTGGCCGTAGTGTATGAGTGTGTATGGGTGTTTCCCAGTGATGGGTTGCAGCTGGAAGGTCATCCGCTGTGTAAAACATAAGCTGGAATAAGTTTGCGGTTCATTCCGCTGTGGTGACCCCTGTTAAATAAGGGAGTAAGCCGAAAGAGAATGAATGAATGAATGAATGAATGAGTGTAAACCTGATATGCAGAGATATTCTACTAAGGTGTGGGGCTAAAGATAATAGAAAAAATAAAAAAAATCTATGCATCCTCATAAAAGGACACCTCTTTGCTAAATATATATTGCATACTATTATCACAATGATGATGTTAGAAATGAAAGTTTTTTTATAGTCTTGAGAGTGAATATACTCTATACCAAATGTGCCCAACCCTATTCCTGGAGATCTGCCTTCCTGCAGAGTTCAGCTCCAACACACCTGTCTTTAATCACCAAGCGCTCCAGGGTTGAGACTAAATTCAGCAGAAAGGTAAATCTCCAGAAACAGGGATGGGCACCCCTGACCTACACATTTCACAGTTAAAAAATAAAATGTGCATTTAATTATGGATTATTTTAGTCTAGTCCCATTTCAAGTTAAAATTGTTTATGGACTTGCTTTAGTTAACACGTTTATCTTTCCTTTTTTATATGATTGATGCCGCATTCAGTGCTTCTTTCGGTTTCTTCCTCAAGAGTGAACAAAATGCATTCAGTAAAATACAGTGCTGTAATGTACAATAAACCTCTGTTATACTGCTGTGGAATTACTCGTTTCAAGTTTTTGGGATTATTTATGACCTGCTGAAAGTCGTTTGTTAATTTGTAAGTTTTAATAATTTAATATTTGGTGCATGAACTGTGAAGAGAATAATGACACCTTGTACACAGTTTTAATATATTTATATATACAGTTGAAGTCTTCTTTTAATTTTTTTTTCTATTTTAAATATTTCCCAATTGATGTTGAACAGATTGAGGAAATGTTCACAGTGTGTCTGATAATATTTGTTCTTCTGGAGAAAGTCTGATTTGTTTTATTTCGGCTAGAATAAAAGCAGTTTTACATTGTTTTAAACACCATTTTGAAGTCAATATTATTAGCCCCTTTACGCTATATATTGTTTTCAATAGTCTCCAGAACAAAACCACAGTTATACAATGACTTTCCTAATTACCCTAACTTTACCCTAATTACCCTAGTGAAGCCTTTACATGTCACTTTAAGCTGTATAGAAGTGTCTTGAAGAATATCTAGTCTAATATTATTTACTGTCATCATGACAAAGATAAAATACATCAGTTATTAGAGATGAGTTATTAACACTATTATGATTAATATTGTGTTGGAGAAGTCTGCTCTCTGCTAAACAGAAATTGGGGATGAAAATAAACAGGGGGCGAATAATTCTGACTTCAACTGTATATACACAAGCTTTAAAATGCTAAATTGGTGTTGTAACCCGACAATGGATCAAATATGTACAAACCCAACCATTGCATTTAAAAATGTAATTAAAATGAAATTAAAAAGTTACAACAACGCAGCATTTTTAAGAGTGTAGAGAGATTTTACTTGATATAGTTATATGTATATTTCATTCAGTTACAGTCAGAGGTGCCAAATTTAGGGTGATTCAGTTTCTGGCAGATCTTTTGTTGTTTTGATACACAGCTTGTACAGATGATGATGATAAAGCTGAAGGAATTGCCAGAAGTACATCTAAGGACAAAATAACCATCAACATGTAAATCAATTAAACTTTGTTTTTGTTATATTTCAATGAGTAAAATTGTTTTAGTTTTATAGTTTTAGTTTAGTTAACTGTTATAACTGCTTAACAAATCAACCGAGACTTATAAACAAGTTTGAGTGAGGATCAGAGAGAGCCTGTGTGAGAGAAAAACATTTCATTCATCATCTGCTGAAATTGATTTCACTTTTAAACTACATGTACTATAAATACTAATTTCACAGTATTAATGAGAAAGTCTTCAGGCTTGTATTTTAGGAATTGATCACCCCAAACATGATTAAATGACATGTAATGATAGAGCCAGATTCTGTAATACAAGACAAATAATCCTGGACGTGTTGAAACTGTCAGGAAACACGCAGAATCACATTCTAGAGTTTCAGTCTTTCACGCATGAAGTGTTTTCCCCTTGAAATGTTGGATGCAAAATATTATTGAATGGATGAATGCTTCAAAACTGACTCACTCTTGTTTGCTGGATGTACACATGATTTCAAACACAGCAGAGTGTTTTCTGACTTTATTTCATTGCATTTCATCACCACGGTTACACAAAATGTAAATACACCAATAATGATCTAATATCTAACATATAAATAAACTTTACCATCAGTCTCTGTGCATGGGATTAATTCATTCTTCAATATGCATTTATTACAACAACATAGTTTTATACCTGTCTATGTCTAAAAACAAAGTATTCCAGGTTTATTTCAAAATGTGCTCACTTAAAACAGTTGGGTCAATAATAACCCATCAAGTAACCCAATGATGGCTTGTTTTGGTACCGACCTGCTGTTGGGTTATTAATCCAAGCCAAAGTTGTTAAGGTTAACCCAACAATTTTGGTTACAAAAATAACTAATTTGTTGGGTTATTTTGCCAAAAAGTGGTTTAACCACTAATATCTCAAATATAATTTCCTCAACAACAACAAAAAAATAAATAAAAATTATTTCACTGTACTTACGCGGTACTTTTCATGCTGAATATCTGGTTGTTACCCCCTTATTACCCAAGCATTACAGTTTGTTCCCTTATACCTACGTAAATGTTATTTATACTTACACTATACTTACAGAAAAGTACACCGTATTTCACTGTACTTACGCGGTACTTTTAGTGATGAATATCTGGTTGTTACCCCCTTTTTACACAAGCATTACAGGTTGTTCCCTTATACCTACACATACGTTCATTATACTTACACAGTACGTACAGAAAAGTACACTGTAATTTCACTGTACTTACGCGGTACTTTGCGGGTTGTAAAAGAAAGCGTTACCAGAAAGTGCTTTTATCCGTTTATAGCTATGAAGTGTTGCGTTGCATCATTAAATTAAGAGTGCTGGTGGAACGGATATAAAAAACAAGACAGGGAGAGGCAGTTTAATAAAAAGCAACGACAATTGCAGATAGCAGGCAGTAAAGGAAAAACTAATAAATTAATGGCAAATTAGATGGGATAATAGTAATACTGGAAGATGGCACTATAGTATTATACAGACAGTAGGGACAACACTAAATCAAGGAAGAAATAGGAAGGAAGAGGTGTGGTTATCAAGATTAAGATTGGGACACACAGGGTTAAATGCAACACTTGCGTTAATGGGTTTACATGAGGATGGGAAATGTGATGTATGTGGTGTAACTGAAAATGTAGATCATGCATTATTTATATGTAGCAAGTATAATAAACATCGCGATATGTTATTCAGTCAGTGTGGGGAAGATAAAACAATATATAAAATTATTCTAGGAAAAGGTATAATAGATTGGCAAGTATATAGAGCGTTTATTAGGTATATCGAGCATTCGGGTTTAGGTTATAGATTATAGTCTAATATTTATGGGTGAGAGTATACTCAATCATTGTCATGAAGGCCCTTTATGTTAGAGGAGCTGAACACGCAGCGCTGACATGAGTATGTGGTCTAGATGCAAAGATTGGAGAATATGAAACATCCAAGTTTTTTTTTTTTTTTTTTTTTTTTTTTTTTTTTTTTTGTGTCCCTTTCCCTCCCTCCTCGTTTCTTTCTGTTGCCCTTTCTAATATTCAGACCCATCATCGGAGTAAGATTCTGTACAGTAGGTGGCGATAATGCTTTTTAATGGGTTAGTCGCCATAAAACAGAAAGAAGAAGAAGATAGCAGGCAGTAATCGGCCCGAGCTCGGCTGCCCTCCGGTGCCTCCGGCTCCGACTCGGCATCGGCGAGTGTTATCCGGGCCGAGTGCGGCCCGCAGCTCGCTCGCGCACATGCGGTTGTGATGCGGCTGTAAAGCACTGGCCCGATTCCGGTCAACCATATCCGGCCCGAGTCTGTCTGTAGAGTCCTGGCCGCTTCTGGCAAGGACTCGGCTGATGGCAACCGATTAAGTTCTTATTTTATCTAGTAATCTGTTAGCTCCACGTTTAATGATAATTTGAGAAAATATTCATGGTACGATAGCAAAAAAAAAAGAATATTTAGTGTGGATGGTCGCAATGTTTAGACGCAAACAAAACAATATTATTTATAAATAGGTTATACATGTCATCTAGAGAAAAACTATGTAAAATTCGCTTATTTTTGAGATAGCACGCTCCTGTGCTGACTGTTTTTTTATAGAGCAGAAGTTGGTTTCATAATAAACACATGCGTGACTAAACTCATGATCCAAACTCCAATCCAGACGGTGGCGGTAATGCTCCAAAAAGCTGGTTGTCAACCACCATGGCACGAAGATCACAAGAAGAAAAAGTTTGGTTTTTCAAACATTTCACGTGGAGTCCGGTCAGAAAGGTAAGCTTTTTACTGCTTGTGTACTGTATAATTAGCGAATTTAGAGCTTAAAACATTTCCACGGTGTTTGGTTGTAACAGCGTTTAGTAATTTAAAACAGTTTGATACGAAATGTAATTTGCTTTAAGAAACACGACTGGAGCTAATGTATGCTAACGCTAACAGTTACAAACAGCCTGAAAGTTCATTTTCCTTTAACACAATGTTAGATTGTAACGTGTGTAGTAACTGAAAACTATTTTAATTATTTTAAAGAAACATGAAACGAATTTGTGTGTATGCTAACTTTGCGTTAAAGAAAGTTTCTGTAGACGAATCCATTAACTAACTTGGCAAAACGTGTTTTTTTCCTGATTTAACATTATAAAGTACCGTGGATGTTGAAAAAAATCATTGTACAGGCGTATACTTATCCAACAGTATTAATTCTGTGATTATGTGTAAATAAAAACTAATCGTTTTGGATTAATAAAATATTATTGTTTATCTTGTTTATGCAGTTAGTCACGAAAAATGATGGAAACTCGACTGTTTACTATTCTCTTTAAATTATCCAAGAGAAATATATTACTATGCACTTTAATTCATATGTGTTAGCCTATGTGAATCAATTATATCTTTTGTTCAAGTGTAATGGTCAGTTAATGTAAAACTGAACGTCTTAAAGCAGATTTTGATGTTTTTTTTTGTTTGTTTTTTATGTTATTGACAGTGATAAATTCTGATTTAAATGAATGGGTAACAATATTTGTTGGTTAAGTCTTATTGTTCTTGTTTAACAAAGGTTAGTGAGATCATTTTGCAGTACATCACGACCAAAGAAGTCAATGGCACACTCTTTTGAACGTGAATAGGCATGTTATAGTTGTGTGCTAAAAGTCCATTATAAGCTGTAAACTGCTGATACATGTTCAACATAGATTGAGCTTATCAGACTTTACATTACTAATTGCTTCACAAACAGCTGAAATGGTTTATTGTTATTGGCTATCATCATCAAACATTTTTCACAATGGTAGGTTAATCTTCATGGGTACAGAATAATGCATGTCCTTGACCATCTTACAAATCTATGTCTCAGATTCATAAGGCTGTCACTCTGCATGAATCTCCGAATAAATCTTGTGCAACCTTCTGTGTACTGATTATTTACACTATAGGTATTATATGCATTAATTAACTTTGATAGTATTTCAGGATTTGAACTTTTCTTTACGAGAGGTTAACAACAATGTGATGTTTCATTATAGATGCATATGAGGTAGCTCGACTCAAACATCCACACGCAACTGTGATTTCTGACTGGTAGACAGATGAGGATGATGATCGCCTGTCATACATCTCAAGACAGAACAGGTTTGTTTGCAATTATTTTAAACACGTACTGTCAACATTATGTCATTGATCTATTACAACCTGTGAGTTTTGCCCTGGCACTATACTAAAGTGATGTTTTGTTTTGTAAATGTATCTGATTAAGGGACAGTATGGACACATCTATACCATGATGAAGAAAAATTACTTGGAACAAAGAGGCTGGATAAAAGGCAGGTATGAAGATTTCAGAAATCAATGCAGCACCACAAGTACCATCACCATCAATGACTATGGCAGAAATCTTAAGACCACCATCAAGTTGCACAGATACTGTACATTCCAGTACACCAGGCGTGTCCAAACTACGGCCCGCGAGGCTTTTTATAAATATCAATAGAATCTGGCCCGCTATACAAAAATGAACGTAATTCAATAAATAACCACCGGGTGTCGCTATTACATGCATTCAATTAAGCAGCAGTTCTTGTTATGATCTATCTATCTATCTATCTATCTATCTATCTATCTATCTATCCATCTATCCGTCTATCTATCTATCTGTCTGTCTGTCTGTCTGTCTGTCTGTCTGTCTGTCTATCTATCTACACACAGTTGAAGTCTGAATTATTAGCCCCTCATTGATTTATTTAATCTTTTTTAAATATTTCCCAAATGATGTTTAACAGAGCAAGAACATTTTTACAGTATGTCTGATAATATTTTTTCTTTTGGAGAAAGACTTATGTTTTATTTCGGCTAGAATAAAAAGCGGTTGAATTTTTTTTATGAACCATTTTAAGGTCAAAATTATTAGCCCCTTAAGTCTTCAGAACAAACCATTGTTATAAAATAACTTGCCTAATTACCTTAACTTGACTAGTTAACTTGATTAACCTAATTAAGCCTTTAAATGTCACTTTAAGCTGTATAGAAGTGTCTTAAAAATATCTAGTCAAATATTATTTACTGTCATCATGGCAAAGATAAAATAAATCAGTTATTAGAAATGAGTTACTAAAACTAATATGTTTAGAAATGTGTGGAAAAAATGTTTAACTCTCCGTTAAACAGAAATTGGGGAAAAAATAAACGGTGGCTAATAATTTAGGGGGGCTAACAATTCTGACTTCAACTGTATATATATATATATATATATATATATATATATATATATATATATATATATATATATATATACACGCGTGTCTGTGTGATGTATGTAAAATTTGGCCCGCGACAACGTTTGTTTTTTTGCATCTGGCCCTCGGCCCAAAAAGTTTGGACACTCCTGCAGTACACCTATGAACATTTACAGTCTTTGTTCTAGTGCAGTTTGAGATCAAGACAGAACTTATTGCATCTCGTGATGTCTTTGTAAGAATTGAAGACATCACTAAATTTGTTAAGGTTTAATGCAGCTAGAAAGTAAAGATCAACTAGAGAATATCAGCAGTGTCTAACCCACTGTTGTATTTACAGAAGTTGTATGAGAATAAGCTACAGGTTGATTTATACTAATCTGTTATTTTTCTTTTTTAGCACGACTGACTGAAGTTTTAAAATCATGCAACGTCATAAAGCAGCAGCTGGGCCTGATTCTCACAAAACCAAAACAGACGTGATGAAATTCCAGATGTAAACACATTTGACCTTCCTTTGGCCAATTTGATTTGGAAAAGCTTGAAAATTAACTAAAGGAGCAGCCCGAACAAATGAAGAAACTGGTAAGTTCAAGCTCTTGCTAATTTCAAAGGGTTTTAAGTTTATTTGTTTTTTTTTGAGTGTTTTTGCTTCGTAGGTAGCCTACTTTTTTCCTAATTTTTTCTTTTTTTTTTTACATTAGTACTTGTTCACTACTAATTATCTGTTTATCTTTTAATCACAGATGGAGCGAGGACAAATGTCCTTACCACGCCACTGATAAAGAAGTGGAAAAATGCATTACAAGGTAGCTACAACTTGCCCCTGACAGGGATGGAGGAAGAAAGAAGAGAAAGCTAATGTGTCAAATGTCTACATCACTATTTTGTTTTATTTTTTAAACAACATTTTAAGTGTATTAGGATGTTCCCTGATACTTGAACAATTTGTTTCTTTCATTTGCATTTATATATATATATATGTATATGTGTATATATATATATATATATGTGTGTGTGTGTGTATATATATATGTATGGTATGTATGTATGTATGTATGTGTGTGCGCCAAATTCTGAAGAAACATCTTGATACATTTTTAATAAACCTAATACAAATAAAATTATAAATATAAAATTGCACAAGACGTGTATATATATGAAATGTATAATCATCTCACTCATGTCTTGCTGTTTGTGCAATTGATTTTGTTCAAGTTTATTTAAAAAAAAAGTTTGACTTTATACTTCTGCAATTATTTATATATATATATATATATATATATATATATATATATATATATATATATATACATATATATATATATGTATGTATATTATTATTTTAATGTTTTATTAAAAAATGTTTTAAGATGTTTCTTCAGAATTCTGCAGTACTTTTTACAAGTTTGACTTGGATATTTTACGGATTGTCATTGGTATTTTTAAGATGTTTCTTGCTAAATCTTAAATTGGTTTCTATATTTAGGTTTATATAAAAATTTAGCTGTTTTTTACAAATTTTTAATTCAAGTCTATTGGGAAAACAGGGTTGTTTAAAAAACATCTGTGTTTGTGTGTAATTTTTAGATTTTTTGTTTAAATCTTTCTGTGTGTCTTTATTGTGTTGTTTTATTGTTGTTTTTATATTGATATTCTTGTGCACTACAAAATTATTTATAAAATTTTAGTACTATTTTTTTCATGCAATCAATAAACGTTTAACATTTATTTATTTTGTCATTTGTCTGATTATTTTCGTTACAGAATATGTATGCAGCTTGCACTTTATTCAAAGGTTAAACGCAGTGCTTACACTTTGTGTTTACATTATAGCCTGTGTTTGCTGTTATATAAATTCAAATGGTTGTAATACCCTATATCAAGTACCAATGTAATACCAAAAGGTTTTATAAGGTGTATAAATACGGAGTCGCGCCAGCTCCGGGCCGCAGCGCACATTACCCTCGCGCCGATTCCGGCGCGGATGCGCAGCGTCGGCTCGCTTACGGCCGCCGCATCTGGCCCGCTTGATTCGGGCCGGAATCGGGCAGTGAGTCCACAGGCATCCGGCCCGAGTCCGGCAGCCGAAGTTGGGCCGAGGGGTTAGTCTCCGGCAGGCGACAATCTAGCCGGAACTGGCCCGAGTGTATTTTGCTATCTACTAAAATAAACTTTATAACACAAAAACAACATTACGTATGCATTTAAATTAATTTAACTCAACTATTCGGTTACATAAATAACCCAGCGTTTTTTACGTGTGTATAATGTGTTGGTGGAGTTTTCTGCAGAGCATCATGTAGTTCTGCGTGAATTCCACAACAAAACGGGTCGGTTAAACATACATCAGTCAACAGTTTAATAAATGATTTTAGTTAAATTCTAGAATTTTATTTAGATTATATTTTGAGTAGGCTTAATATTATTATTATTATTATAAAATATGATTGTGTAGGCTACTCTGCCTTGCTCTCTACAGCTTGAAACTGCCTGAAACCGCGAAACCAGGAAATGTGAAAATTCAGCAGGTGGGGGGTGTTTTTTTCCTTGTATGTGTTTTGCTCAACAGGCGGATTTACTGCGTCACTTCCTCTGCTGCCAGTCAGTTCGTGTTACTGTGCTTTTAAGATATTTCGAGTAAAACTCAATCGCATCAATGAGTTCTCAAATCAGTCCAGCGGATATTACAGCACAGAAGACAGAAATTACAGAATCTGTGCCATCATCATCATCATCATCATCAGCGGAGGAATTAAAGATCAGTGCAGATGAAAAGAGAAAGAAAAGAAAACGAGATCCAGAAGACGAAGAACTCAATAAAAACAGCCGAGATGAAGAGGAAAAACCAAAACTACAGCCCGAGGAAGAGGAAGAACTGAATAAAAACAGCAGAGATGAAGAGGAAAAACCAAAACTACAGCCCGAGGAAGATGAAGAACTGAATAAAAACAGCAGAGATGAAGAGGAAAAACCAAAACTACAGCCCGAGGAAGATGAAGAACTGAATAAAAACAGCAGAGATGAAGAGGAAAAACCAAAACTACAGCCCGAGGAAGAGGAAGAACTGAATAAAAACAGCAGAGATGAAGAGGAAAAACCAAAACTACAGCCCGAGGAAGATGAAGAACTCAATAAAAACAGCAGAGATGAAGAGGAAAAACCAAAACTACAGCCCGAGGAAGATGAAGAACTCAATAAAAACAGCAGAGATGAAGAGGAAAAACCAAAACTACAGCCAGAGGAAGATGAAGAACTGAATAAAAACAGCAGAGATGAAGAGGAAAAACCAAAACTACAGCCCGAGGAAGATGAAGAACTCAATAAAAACAGCAGAGATGAAGAGGAAAAGGGAGAACAGCATCCAGATGAAAAGGAAGATCTGAAAGAAAAGTTATCAATAACTGAAATTATTTCATGTATGTATCTGTAATTTATTTAAAAAATAGAAAACTGATTTACGCAATATCAAAGTTTCTTTAAATCTGCAAAATGAGTTAATGTGCATGTTGTGTTTCAGACTCAAAAAGATGGAAAGGCACAATAAAGAGAGGTAAGACCTATTTGACAAGGGCGTAGCTTTGCTTTTGATGTTGGTGAGGATGTAATGCTTTGAAATATTGAGTTACTCCCCAAAGATCTTTTTATGGCAAGTAATGTGTTTCATTACTTTTGCGTTACTTTTTCTGACTTACTGAGGCTTGATCTCTGCAGTCAACAACACTATAACCTTCATTTACTGTAAAAATCAGTCATAATAATAAAGAATAATGTCATCTAATGAAAGCTTCCTGAGGCAGAGCTCTACATGCCATGTACAGATTAATGACAGCGTAAAGCGGTGTGTTTGCTGTTTTTAGTCTCATTAGTGCAGTAAATCAGTGTGCACTGAGACTATAACACCTTTTTCCTTTTCTCCATGTGTTCAGAATAACGAGAATACTTCCAGCTTTGTAGTAATGTAAGCCAAAGCCATCCTGCTTTCTGTCTGCCGTCTCTAATGGATTCAGTGTGACCTCGCTCAATTAAATTCAGCTATTTTTTTAAGTTATTTTTTTTAAAGGAACTCAAATATTATTACTATTTTTTAATGTAGGCTGATGTCTTACTTTACTTGTTACTTAGAAAAATCATATTATTATGCAACTCATAGTACTTGATGCGGTTGCCCAAACACTAGAGGCGTGCGATGCAATAACATTGTGTCTTGACTGCTGCTGTTTTATTTTAATCATTAATGACAGTTGACTGAGCATTTGCATTATTATTATGGGATATTTCAATAATCTGTGGCTATTGATACTCTGATCAAGCTAATTCTACGCCCTTGCTATTTGAAATAACCGATCCTTCATTTAAGGGGACTTTATTTATATTTAATAAATGCCGCCTTGATGAACAAAATAATTTAATAAAAGAATTCTAATCAAATTTTTAATAAAATAATAAATAAACTGACCCCAAACTTTTGATTGGTGGTGTAGATCAGTGGGTTAGTTTATTAAAATAATTTAATAAAAGAATTCTAATCAAATTTTTAATAAAATAATAAACAAACTGACCCCAAACTTTTGATTGGTGGTGTAGATCAGTGGGTTAGTTTATTAAAATAATTTAATAAAAGAATTCTAATCAAATTTTTAATAAAATAATAAACAAACTGACCCCAAACTTTTGATTGGTGGTGTAGATCAGTGGGTTAGTTTATTAAAATAATTTAATGTGCATGTTGAATATAATAGACATTTGTTGATTGGCTGTGCCTTACCCTGGATGTTGTTCACCCTCTGCCTATGCATATCCATCTTATTTCTGTGTTGTTTTATGTGGCTTTACAGTCAGTTGCCTATTGGAATTATTTCCTACAATTATCAGATGATTTGGGGTGCTGTGTGCACTTAATTGTGCTCGCAAACCATTTACATGACCTCCATTTCCCAGCTGAGTGAAATGTACTTGTATACCATCTCTATAACTGTATTTATTTTATTTAAGATCATTTATAATGTTTTTTAGAGCTGTAAAGCACTCCAGAATCTGCCAGATGATTAGTAGCCCTTATTTGGTCACCGCCGGTGGTTGCTATGACACGCGAACAAAACAACAAAGTTTGGCCACGCCTCCCCATGGGTGACGTCACTGAAACTACGTATATGTCAGTCCATGCTTCGAATGCCAAAAGATTTTCTGGAGGACTCTGAGTTCGACTGAGCTGAATTGAAAGCAAACGAAACAACTTGACAGAGACATAGCCTACTCCTTTAAAACTCACATAAACTGATTTAAAATGACTTCAAACAAGAAATTGAAGAACATGACTGTTAAAGATCGGAAACGTAAAGTCTGTGATGAAAATGAAGAAGGTAAGTCAAGTAGTTCACTATAATAAAGGCTAATATACTAAAGGCACTTTGGGTAGTATATTATGTTTACTCTGTCAGACTGGGACTTTATTCTGCTCCTCATGATGTTCTTGTTTTTCATAGTTGGCCACATTCGACTGGTCTTCTCAGGAGAACTGTTGGAGGATGAATACACACTTGGTTGTTATTACATTTACTCCAAATGCAGCATTTCTAAGGCTTCGCGCTTATATGTTGGAAGTAAGTAAACCCTGTTTAACCATAAACCTGTTAATGTGACGCATGAGGAAGAATAAAAAGTATGTGTGTTGTGTTGTTAAGGTATTCATTTTTGTGGTCACCAAAAAAATACCTTCATCAGTTTCAACTGGTATTACCAGAATACTCTTGACAAACACTTTCTGATGCCAACAGAATGAGCTTTTATTTCAGTGGATGTAAATTTTCACGTTCTGTGTTTTAAGTATATTATAAGAAAGCAGCTTAGCGTGGTTTAACATATCTTAACACCAACCGAAACCCAAATTTCTGTCAAACTTTACTTGTTATTAACACTAACTATTGTCAAAAGAACAGTAAACAAAGATAAAGTGAACAATATCACGTTAAGTGTTTTCCTAAACCCACCTGGAAAAAACTAAATATCTGAAAATTACTAAAAATTGAGTTATGTTTTTAGTCACACACAAACACACATCCACACATACAATTACCTTAAGGTGACTAGGGAATAGGACCATACATTTGGAGTGTGAGAACAGCCAAACAAGGGCACAGAATGGTCTAAAAGGCAGTCATTTATTTACAAAGAAAGCAAAAATAACTCAACTCAACACAACTTAACAGAAAAAAAAAATCAACATGGAAATAATTAGTAATGCTACTACTAATAATAATAATATTAATGATAAGGGAAGAAAAGATAACAACAGTGGTACCTAAATCAAAGAAATCAGCAAAACCAACACATTTAACTATAATTGAAACCCAAACTCTTCCTAACTTAATAATAATGAGAAACAGAGACATGACAGCTTTAAGGTATGCAACACCTGTAAAGTACACTACTCTCACTGAAAACTATAAATATATAAAATGCACACACTCCCTCACTAATGTGCCTAACACAGAATTGCTATGTGCACATTGTGCCTCATATCTAGCTTACCTACCCTAATGCCCTGGAGGGTATTCCAGAAAGCAGGTTATGTGACATTTTTAAAATTTAAAAGCTGGACAAGGAAATGCTTGGATGGTTATAAAACGTACACAAAAGGATGTTAAAGTTGTGTTCAATAATGCATTAATAAAAGAGGAGAGGACAGCATGTGTAATTTAATAAACTCAAACATTTACTCTCATTTGTTTACTTTGTCTTTCCTTATCTTGACTTTCCATGGTAACTCGTGAATGCAGCGGTCCACTAATATTGCCTTCAGGTAATCGGTGTGCGCTGTTATTAACTTGCGGTTATCTTTATGAGGTTGATTAAGCGAACTCTTCTCAGGTGTTTTAGAACCGACATACTCATGGTATGCAGGTTTTGGATTAATCAACCAAGAGTTCAGGGTTTAGAAGATGGTAAATTAACCCAGCTTTCTGGAATACTCCCTTGTTTGGAGCATAACAAACCTTGGTGTGTGTGTGTGTGTGTGTGTGTGTGTGTGTGTGTGTGTTCAGTGTGTTTGCCTTCTGTTTTTATTATGTTCAGTTTCAGACAGCTTCAGACATTTCTCTGGTCATCTGACAGATGTTTTGTTGTCATTCTCTCTTTCAGAAACAGATCCGGATTCAGATGAAGGTAGTCCAATCCCCAGAAGTACATCTATGGAACTACTGATTCCATTGAAGAAACCAGAATCAGAAGTTTCTTTTCTAGAATAAGCAGGGATTGATTGTTATATGACTATATAAGGGAAACGCTGCATCAGGAGAGCCGACGTTTTGTGTGAACTTTAAATTCTACTTTTAAAAGAATTTAATTGCTCAGTTTTTTCCCCTTTATATTTTGTTCTGTTGTTTTTTTTTTTATTTGTTCATTTTCATTATTGTACGTTGTTTGCCATTTAAAGTTGGCACAAAGCTGTTTCTTTGTGGTCTGAAAGTTATACCCGAGTATGGAGGGAGGAGAAGGTTTGGGTACAGTAAGCTCTGTCCTGTGCAATTCATTTAAAGTTTATTTTTATAGCATTTTTTACAATCATGATTATTTCAAAACAGCTTTAAAAATGGTACACATTATTGCATTACAATCAAATATATGTTATTATATACAGACAAAATTAAACTGCAGTTTAATTGCATAAACGTGATGTTTATTTGTACATGTTTACTGAAGTGTATTTGTGTATTAAATGTGTGTGTTGTCCTGGAAGTCCTTGATGTCCCCAATTTCTGTTTAACAGAGATATTTTCTCAACACATTTCTGCACATAATAGTGTTAATACCTCATCTCTAATAACTGATTTATTTTCTCTTTGCCATGATGACAGTAAATAATATTAGACTAGATATTCTTCAAGACACTTCTATACAGCTTAAAGTGACATGTAAAGGCTTCACTAGGGTAATTAGGGTAAAGTTAGGGTAATTAGGCAAGTCATTGTATAACAGTGGTTTGTTCTGGAGACAATCCAACACTAATATTGCTGAAGGGGCCAATAATATTGACCTTAAAATCGGTTTAAAACAATAAAAACTGCTTTTATTCTCGCTGAAATAAAACAAATCAGACTTTCTCCAGAAGAACAAATATTATCAGACATACTGTGAACATTTCCTCAATCTGTTCAACATCATCTGGGAAATATTTAAAATAGAATAAATACAGGAGAGCAAATACTTTTGACTTCAACTATATGTATAAACTCTTTAAAAAGCTGGGTTGTTGTATCCCAACATATGGACAATTTAATGAGCTATTTCTTAAAAAAAAAAAAAAAAGTTAACAATCCAGCGTTTTTTAGTGTGTAGAGAGATTTCTATTTGATATTTTTATAACAATAAATTACTGTCAGAACCAGAGGTAGGCCAAAAAAAGGTCAATCAGCTTCTGGCCGATCTCTTGCTGTTTTGACTGAAAAGCGAAAGTGAAAGCAAAACTGCATCAACCAACGCCATCATATGTGTCCATTTCCCCGTGTTGAAGATGAGCTGCAGGGTGTTTGTTCGCACAATTGCCGGCCAGTTGTTGACAGTAAACGTGGAGACAGAAGATGAGCTGATGAACATGACCGTGGAGAAGCTGCTAAAGAGATTACTGACCGAAGACAAGCGTGAGTCTCAGTTTCTCAATATAAAACATGACCGAATATAAAGAGCAGAAGCATCATCATGCATGTTAATTACACCACAGTATATTTTACCATATCAAGATGAGGATAATTAATGACAGCAGATGACTCTTAATGAGGAAACCGTGCATGCAACAACCTCTAAATAAAATGCAATATTAAAATTAGCTCGTGTGTGTGTGTGTGTGTGTGTGTGTGTGTGTGCGTGCGTGTGTGTGTGTGTGTGTGTGTGTGTTCAGTAATCACATTTGTGTGATTTTAGGCTCATTTCATTGCTTTTAAAGTGAAAACACTCATTTTAGAAGACATTTTCAGGTTTTGCATCTTCATTGAATGCACTGATATGTGTTTTCTCTTGTTGTGTTCATGCAGTTTCATTAGTTCCCTTGTCCAGAGTCTCATATAATGGTAAGAAACTGCAGTTTGACCACACACTCGGCTCGTATGGCATCAAACATGAAGAGACGGTCTACTGGATTTTACCATTATATGCAGGAGGTAAAACAACATCTTTAATGTGCATTAATATTCATAAAACTCCTATTATTTGACATGCGAGAGCTGTCACACAGACAAATGCAGCTTCTCAATGTGTTTAAGAAAACTGACTGAATTCTGCTGTTGTGTTCATCTCATTGTTTATACACGCTTCTGTTCAAACGTCTAATGGTGAGATGTTTTTGAAAGAAGTCAAAAGGCTCCATTTATTTAATCAAAATGCAGTAAAATAGTGATAAATCATGCTGAATTAAAGTGATTATTTTGTGTTTGAGTTTATTGTCAAGCGTGATTTATATGTGTCAGGTAAAGCTGTATTTTCAGCATCATTACTCCACTCTGGTGTTCAATATTTCCTTCAGAAATCACAGGATTTGATGATTAGGACACATTTATGATTATTATTGTTGAAAATATGAGAATAAGAGCAGCATTCATTGTAAATAAAACATTTTATAGCATAATACA